TTTGGTAGCTATCATTTGGAGCTGCTCTGCAGAAAAAGTCGAAGACTTATCAGTATACCAACGAAAGATTATGAAAATTTTACCATAAAAAACAAATTTAAAATTTTTTGCTCGAGTTGTTCTATCATAATAGGCCATTTTCACGATGACGATGTTTGACTACAACTACCAGAATTCATTTCGTCTTTGCTTTCTTATTTGAATTTGTCAATTCTTCTGAGGTTTAAAAAAAATAGCCCTAATTTGCACAAGAAAACATCAAACTGAAGGACCCTGCCAGTTGTAGTAAAATGACGTCATCGTGCAATTGTCCTACTACCACAAAGTCACTGATCCAAAATTGCGACAGTTTCGTTTATTACCTATTACGACGTGGAGTTCTTATAAATTGCGACAGCCAACAGCCTTTTTACGACAAATTGTGACTAAAGTGATATAAAAAATGTGGTGACAGGCATCGGTGACACACTCGTCTGCGGCTCGTGTGCCATCTTTTTGTTCTTACAACATTTTCACGTCATCTGTGATCTATTAATGAACAGACACACGGCAAATGAAATCCATTTGTTATCTAAAAATAAAAAAATGACAAAAAGTCTTGTTGTCCATTTGCCACATGCATAAAAAGTACCAATATTAGGCCCAAAATAATCGATGAATTTGAAAGCACTAAAATAATTACAGTTACAATTGTCATCGAATGGCGTTACCAATACATCTTTCCAGATGCAAATCACTAGATAAAGAGAAATTAAGAATCACGTTAACGACAGGCTGCAAAGGTCAGTTTCAAGTTGGCAATTTCTCAGTAAAACTGGGAAATCGGAAGCTAGCAACAAATCCAAGATAAAAAAGGTAAACACGACTTAACTTAGTGTGGATATAAAATAACTGGTACCGTAAACTTCCGCTTATAAGCCCTGGGCTTAAACAACTTTGTAAGGGGTTTAGGAGGGGTTATAAACGGCGAGGGGATCTATATCTGGAAGGGCTTATAAGGGGACTAAAAACTCGTTTTAAAACAAGCTACATAGCAGTGCTGATCAAAATACTTATTTGAATAGCCCACGTTCGATATATTAAAATTCTATCATGACTCGGACGCTTTTAATCCGGTCATTTTTCTACATTTGGCTTGGTTTTCTTTGTGCTCAAGTCTCTTTTGGAAATTGCGAGACAATGGAGTCTTGAGAAAATGTAATTTTGACCCTAACGCCTCGGAGTCAGGTTAGAATTTTAAAATATCGAACGTGGGCTATTCACCCGCTTTTTAAAGCTTCAAAACGTCTTTAAAAGATCGAACTCATTTCAATACATGCTAGAAGGGGGGAGGGTATATCCGGGGGAGCTTATGACCAGATGAATTTTCTGTTTGACAGGTAGATTGGCCTATAACTGGGGAGAGGGGGTTGTAAGTAGAAGTTAACGGTTTACGATAATAAAAGGACAGCTTATTAAGGGGAAAAATTCACGTCGTAACAACTGACAACTATTGGCCGAAATACGTTATTCTAAATCTCTCTACTATTCATTAACACAATCAAGAATTCAATGTCCCTTTTTGTCGATTTTTTCTTTTCATAAGAGTAAAGGTCACTGTTAACTACGAGATATACATTTTAGATGGGCGTTCTTCAAAAAAAAACTTTTTATTGGCGCAATAATTCTACGTAAGGCTTTGGTTTTTAGTCTCTGGCCAAGCTATACAGTCAAATAGATTTCTTAGGTTAACACCAATAATATCAGCTCTTTCAGCTCTTGAATTCAACGCCTGGCGGTTTCATTATTATCCTCGGTAAAGTTTTATATCTATTTTCTCTTTTGTGCATTTGTGGTGTATTCTTTTACAACTGTAATAATAATAATAATAATAATAATAATAATAATAATAATAATTTAATCGTAATTTAATTCTTTTGAATGTTAAATTTAATAATAATTTAATTCTGTAATTCTGTTGATCTGACATTAAGAGAAAGGGTTTGAAAGCGCGCCTGCGATTGCCTATAATCACGCTTACCGACACCAGTTAAAGCCATTGCTTTCGTTGCAATATGCTGTAAGTCTGTTCGTATTTACAGCATATGCAAATACAGATGACATTTGAAAAGAAATCAATTAGTTTGAAAATAATATAATCGACAATAGTCAACTAGCACCTTTTCCCCCTGCATCCACAGTAGGGCTTAAATATCTTAAAAGCTGTTTAGTTGTAAATTGCAAAACGTTTTTTGTTGTTATTCTGAATGGCATCTGTCTACTTGCTCTTAATATTAGGGTAAAAACTTTGAGCGAAAACTATAGCTGCAACTATAAACACCAACTAAAAAGACTCTAAAAAATATGCTAAAACTGAATAAATGAAATAATTATCAAGCTTATTTATGGGACAATTTTTGAAATAAACGTAAAGTATAAATAAGAAAATTGACTGTAATTCCTTTAGAATAACAGGTAACACTAATTTTAAAAAGAAATTAACTAGCTTTGTATCGAAATCTGTCTGGGGAAATACACCTATGATGAAAGTCAAAGTTGCAACTGAAATTCGCCGACACACAGCCGGCGCTGACGCTGTTGTTTTTCGACCGTTCTGTGAACGACTGTTATGAATGAACACTGAGGAACAAAATAATACACACAGAAGCTATTTTTTAAAAAATTTATTTGAAAACCTAAATGTTTCTGTACTCAAATGAAATTCGCTTATTCCAGCGTAATGCACCTATCAATGTAATGCCGGCGGGGGGGGGGAGGAGGCAGGGCATAGGGTGGGGATTTGACTTTTTTCAAAAATTTGCAATCAAATTCCCTGCCCACGGGCAAATCATTCCAGTCAAATGCAACCAAATTTCCCCACCCCAGGCTGCACATTGCTGTCAGTCCCAAGGCAGAGCCTAAGAAAGGCAATAAAAATATCTCCAAATAAAACTCTGCAATCTTTTATAAACGTTGCTTCATCACCAAAGATACATGTTCCTGTTACAGCTGCAATTATACGTTTTAACCATAATCCGTGTTACACTGGGCAGAATACATAAACCTTTAGGAGAAAGTCCACATTTTGTAAGTCTAGATGTACCGTTCTTAGTAAAGGGTACAAACAAAGTCAGTTTTATCAGTGATTGTAACGAACGAGCCATACACTAATCAACTGTACTTGCAAAAATCGACTCGGTTTCTCTTTACTTCCGTTTACTTTGATACCACATTATATTAACAGGTTCAATTGATCAAAAACACCCTAAAACAAACGAAATTTGAAGACAAAACAGTGAAGTCCACTCAGCCTTCGCTTGCTCTCATTGGCCTCCATGACTTCCTGATCTTTTCAAACCGTATGGCGCGTGCGTGAAGCGTAGAAGCGGGAAACATATGTTCGGTCTCAGTCTTTTTCGTGCGAGTCGGCAGTCAAATATGTCCACGTCAGGCGAAGAAAGATTCAAATATCCCCTCCCCCGGGAGAACAAGATCAGTCAAATGCCCTACCCCAGGGACAACAAAGACAATCAAATCCCCACCCTATGCCCTGCCGCCCCCCTCCGGCTTTACATTGATAGGTGCATAATGTGCCCGTTAGAACTCAACTAAAATTTTTAATCGACGCGATGAAAACTTCACAACAAAGCTGTCTCGAATTTGAGCGTGTTTCCTAAAATATTTGCTTGAATTTAGCTTGACCAAAAAGTCAATAACACAATGCTAATTGATAAATTTACATTTCAAACAGACTTTCTCACACACAAAATGTACCTTAAATCTTCGCTCGCTCGATTTTCCTTCAGCCGATTCTAGCCGCTAGGAAAACAGTGATTAATTCATCCGGGGCAAATTTGTCGCTTGATCTTTTGTCTTTTTTCCTTCAAAACGACAGCTTAGTATTTTCTTCAACTTCCACTTTTCATCTGTGCATTTCATCGGTGTATTTTACCGTCAGGAGAGGAGATTTGTTGAATTTGCCTAACTTTTACCGCGCTAGCTCAGTTTCTTGGCGTGCACCAACGGGAAAATGGTAGTGGCTAACTGACCAATCAGAGCGCGCGATTTACTTTTGTTATGTTATAATTAACAATGGTTCTTGTTAAATTATCCGCGCACTTAAAACTTTGTAGTTTCTTCTATACTTACAGTACATAGTTTAAGCACCCAGCATAACATGTAATACCGACTGAGTCTGTCTTTTAATAAGCGAAGGAGTCACTGCTATACGATATACCAGTACTTTCTCGTAAGTTGAGAACAGTAGAGAACAGTTGAGAACAGTAGAATAGTGTGTGTTGGGGGGACAGAATAAGTGAAACAATGGACAACTTTTTAAGGTTGATGAGAAATAGGAAATGTTTTAGTCGTTACGATATTAAGTGGTTTACTTTACATGAAAGCAATTCCATTCATTTGACGCGGGAAAACAAACTATAAGAAAAATCAACTAAAAGAACACCTTTCAATGACGTATAACGTTAAAACTTGATTTATTTTGAAATACACTTCTACGTCACTGTTGATTCCGCTTAAATGCAACTCGACGACTTTTCAACAGATATGCATCGTTTCTGTTTAAAAAACCTTATCAAACAACTGTCTGTAAATTGCAACTCCAAATCAAGACTTCCGGGCACGCAGAATTGCCACACGGAGTCGATATTGGTATTTTATTAATGTTTTTACCAAACTTTCTCCAACAGCGTCGATTTCTTGCATTTCGCTTAACAATTTTCTGGTTTAGTTGAGACAAAAGACTTTGAACCGATAAAGGTTATATTAATCGAACCACTATTCCGTCATTCAAAAATGACAACTGAACAAGCAGGGGTTTTTCTTTAGTGATTTAGCCTGCGTTGCAGCCGGCCCACGCTATACAGAAGGTTTAGAGCGTCTGCGACGTAGGCAATAGTGATTCTGTGTCTCAAAGTTGAACAACGCCGCCATCACATAAAATATACAAGCTAAACGTTAATACATTCCCTGGGACATTATGGATGATTCCTATAGCTTGGAATATGCTCTCTATATATTACTCGAGCATTTCGTTTCTTGTCACTGGATTGATTGGAAATGTGCTGGTAAAACGAATTGTGCACAAAAATGGAGAAATGCATACGCCGACAAATTATCTGTTAGTCAGCATAACCACAAGCGACAATTTTACCATTTTGCTGTGGTTTCTGGACCTCTCCGGTGAATTGGAAGAAATTGTCTGCGAGTTGATTTGAGGTTATTGAGGTTTCCATAATGGTGTCCTCTAGTTCTCTTACTCTACTAGCAGTGGAAAGGTTTTCCGCGATACTGAAGCCTTTCAGAACAGAGCTGTGGCTGAATGGAGAGAACATCAAAGAGAGAATCGCTGTTATCTGGATCAGCAGCATTCTAATATGTCTTCCCGAAATTTTCTTCAAAAAATGGAGCGAACCGTCTGCAACATGTATCAGTCCTTCGACTTTACATATGAACCAGGCGAGCAAAGTTAGCTAAAGTTTGTGTGATCGCCAATGCCGCAATAACTTTCATTCAGATGGCCGTCTTGTTGTATTGCTATGGTTCTTTGGTGAGGGGGCTTTACTTCACCAACACCTTTTGCCAAGAAATAGACACAGAAAGACGTGCTGAGAAACGAAAACTTGTCATCACATTTATCTTGTAACCGTCGTATTTTTCCTCGGTTACACACTAACTGCAGTTTCTTACGCGTTCATTACAACAGAAGAGGAAACGCTAGAACTCACATTTTACGATCAGTTTACTTCCGTGGCTGATTTTGTGTTTGTTTGCAGTTCATGTTTTAACCCCATTATTTACGCCTTTCGCAGCACTAGCTTTAAAGAAGGGCTCAAACCCACGATTTTATGTTGCAATTCATGCTAACGCCATGACACTCAGCTGAAATGATTTTATCGAGTATTGTTTGTCATGTTTGTTTGTTTTTTTCAGTGAACTGAAAGAATAGTTATCTGAACAAAAACTGGACAATGTAAATCTTCAATTTCTGCGTCTAAATAATGTCACAAACGTGATTGCGTTAACGAACGGATAGTGATATATCCGATGGCGAACTCCCTCCACCTTTTAATAAAAGGAGGGCCAGAGGAATAAAGGGAGTGTGTTTTGCTTCGTTTTTTGCTTTGTTTTTGTTCGTCTGTTCGTTGATGTTTTTTTTGTGGTGGCATCTCAATATTTTAATGATGTCATGAAAAAGTTGCAGGGACACATTTAGGAAAACCTACTGCGTCATCGATCCAAAACTAGCTTAAACAACCTATGGAAACAATTCAATCAGGATCGCAACATAACAATAGAACATGGCATAGCTTTATCTCATGAAGCAATTGACATGACGACTGAGGCACCATAAAAAAAAAACAAAGTTTTCAATTTTAACAAACTACTGGAAATGAAACAACTATGGCCTATTGTGTGTTTTGTATGCTGATTGTGACTTTCAATCGTCATGTCAGCTCTAACACCCATTTCATATGGGGAGTCCCCCCCCCCCCACCGGGAGTTTTCCCATGTAAATGGTTAATACCTCTGCAGTGATTTTGTTAACTCTGCGTCCTGCGTCCATGATGCATAAAAATCCCTAAATCATTGCATGCGTCCCGTAGGGAGCCAAGATTGATCGATTGATCTCAGTGAACATGTGCATTTGTAGAAATATCCGGCCTGTTCGTGTAATTTCTGTGGCAGTTATTACGGCTGTTGTTTAAAAATGCATATTTCTTTAAGCCTTTGTTGTGCTTTAAAATAGAAGGACTAGTCCTTAATTTCATTATACTGTAATACAGAGTATTGGAGTCTGTCTTTAGATTAACTGTCTGGTTACATAAAGGCCCAAACATTTTCAATTTGGGACTCGTTTTTTTTTTTTTTTTTTTTTTTTTTTTTATTTTTTATCAAAGAATAGTCCTTAAACTCTTCACAATTGACTATTTTCGAATTCCCCATAATACACTCTGTTTGCCCCCCAAATTTTGCATAACTTGTTGTCTTAAAATGCTCTTGGGAAAATGCAATACTCCCAGGAGCATTTAAAAACAATGGTTTATGCAAAATTTGGGGGGCAAACAGAGTGTATTATGGGGAATTCGAAAATAGAGAATTTGAGTAAACCTAAGTCTTTGCTGAGAATAGCTAGGCATTTTCATTTCACTGAACTACACAGAAGTAGACGAACTTTTGTTTTCAACCTTTTGTGTAATTTGTTGTACTAGGAACTTAATTTAAGTACATGTATCAATAGCATAACATAACATAACATAAAACTTTATTTATACTCGAATTTTAGAGTAGCTAACAAGCTAATATCTTCGAGCTGACACTACATAAAAACTATATAGAAATTATATATATACATTAAATGTAAGGAAAGAAAATATCATTTACAATTCACAATTTTAAGTTCAAGTATGTCAGGCAAAAAGAATCTACATGAAGGTAACATCCTGCATTTTAGTCTTAAAGTCTGCAAAAAAACTGGTACGAAAGAAGTCCGGCAGTGCATTCCACTGCTTAGCTGAAAAGTAAGAAAAGGAGTTAAGACCATAGGTAGTTGTTTTAGGTTTACTTAGTGAAAGAATGTAGTTGCCACGAAGATCATAGGAAGAGGACCGGAGTGAAAACATATTCTTCATATAAGTAGCATATTCTTCAGATAAGTAGCATAAAGGTCAATTAAACTAATAAACCACTTGCACAATGACTACTTTGACCAGAATCCTTCAGGGTTTTACTTTCTTGTGCAAATTAGGGCTTTTGTCATTTAATCCTTGCTGGGATAACCAAATTTAAATATGAAAAGAAAAACGTATAGGATTCTGGTCGTGGTAGTAAAATGACACCATCGTGCAAATGGCCTACTGAGGACATTGTAAATTAAGATACAAAGAAAATGGACGAAAACAGTTAAAACATAACTAAACTCTGCTTGACAGAATGTAAGCTTATATGTATACGTGCAAATACATGTAATGTATCTAGGAATATGACAGCAAACTTTTATGTAAGTCTAAGTTTTACTTACATGTCCTAGGCGGGGCACAGTCTTTTCCGTTAGAAATGCAGGCTGTAAAATGCAGCATTCTTTAGCAGATAAAGGGGGAGGGACAACGAACCGATCATGGCATCCAAATAATCTCATTGTGGACGCTTTCACTGTGTAAAAGAATTACAGCTGTATTGAGGGTGTTTCGATATCATGGTGGCCAGTTGAACTATTGGAAATACCATCTAAGGTCACTCCAATGATTTTTTTTTCGGTGATATTGCAAAGGTAAAGCTACTTTAATGTCGCACTTGGCTCAACGTTTTTCTTCAGTAACATGCTAAAATCAACCAGGCGCACGCTGGGAAACTGGGACAAAATATGAAGAACTCGTACCCAGTATTTATCGTTGTAACAAGATTTTTCTAACTGTGAAGCCACGTCGTATACACAAGAATGTTCTGCGCCCGGGAGGGAACTCCCATATGAAAGGGGCGGGGATGCTCGTCGGAAATGAGAATAATAAAACCCCTAAAGGAAAACAATGTGGACGTGGCCAAACCTTTTTTGACCCCTTAAAAAAGACCATTTTAAGCTTTGATTACACGAATCGAGTAAATAAGACGAATTGAAAATATATAACTTTTTAATATTTCTTCGCGTGCAACCGTATAAAAGAGACCTTAACGGCTAAATATAATGGCGTTTTGCCCAGAACAAAGGGCGCTTTTCCCGGCTTGGCGAATGTGAAAAATCATACCCTTGCCCTATGTCCTTTTCCTGGCAATCAGCACTATACATTTAGCCTTTCCGCGGTGCTTTGGCCCGGTCCATGAAGCATGAAATAATTTCAGATTTGACCTTGAATAATTATCCGGCTGATTTTTACCATTGCAGCCAATTTCTCCTCTATTCAAAAGGTTTTGGTAGTGGATTAATGGCGCGAAAGTGAGCGTGGATAGGGAAATAAATAGAGGGTGAAGGAGAAAGGAGAAAATATTATATTCTGAGCATACGAAATGTTTCTTTTATGAGATGACCTCACCGCGCGTGCAAGATTAACTGGGTGTGGCACCATATATCCATTCAAAGTAAAAGGAGTTGAAGTGTTAACAACAGCTGTCAAAATAAACCAGTTATAGGGTAAATCTGAAATAATGGAAAGAGCATTTGTTAAAAATACCACAGGCCGTCTTCCGCCATCTCCGCGGCCATCCACCCCACTTTTTTCCCTTTTCTGACTTATCTTCTCACCGATCGCGGCATTAGCTCAACGCCTGGAACAGACTACTTTTTCGGCGAAAAATTAACTTTGCAAGACATTAGCAGCGTAAGGTAACAGCTGCAGATAGCTGTTACCTCCTCTTTAGAAATAAATGGTGTATCGAGGTAAACAGCATGGTGCAACTTTTTCTGTCAACTCTGTTCAAAAGTAATTAACTCTTTCGTAAGAGTGTACTGATTGTCGTGTAAATTAGTTCTCCTTCAAAACCAAGTCACTGTTGAAATAAATTTATCAACATCCTTAAGACTAGGGGCTCTGTATTACTATTGTACTGATGAAAGGCATCTAACGCAAATGCGCTCTTTATAAAATTACTAGTATTTCTTTTACTATTATTATGAGAAATGTCGACTTTACTTAAGTAAAACCAGCTAGCTCACGATCAGTAATTCTGTAATCTCATTGGCTGACGCACTCACTATTTATAGAGGGCAAATATGCTTTTTGAAAATAAGCATTTGTGTTGCTATTGTTACCAAGACCTGTAGGTAATTCCAATACAGGGAACTGTTCTTTACTGTGACGAACGGTTTCATCGCAGTTGTAACGGACAGGTGGCAGCTAATAAGCGAGTGACAGGAGGAATTGCCTTATTATTTTCTTGGTTCTCTTTTTTAAATCATTACTATTATTTATTTTTGAAGGAAAGACTTTAATGTTTCGTGAAAGTCACCAAAAATATGTCAACAACTGAAGTTTTGAACGCTGCTTTGTTTTTTGTAGTACTTGATCATCATTTTCGTGCGTCGGGCCTTCTTGCCGCCATTTCCATTCTACGGAGGTTTGACTCTGCCGTCGTGGATCCACTGCACGCAATCATTCTTTTAAGCCCTTCTTTAAACTTCTTACCACGAAAGCTGTAAATTATGGGATTAAAACATAAACTACAAACGTACATAAAATCAAACACAGCTGCAAGGTCCGAATATAGCTCCCAATGTATCAGTTTCTTATCAGTCCCTACTGCCACAAATGAGTGTAAAAATTCAGTTGGCGAATAACCAACAAAAAACCCTGCAGTTGCCAAGAGAAATGTGATGACGAGTTTCTTTTTCTCTGCTGTTGTTTCCCTATCTATTGCTGGGTGTTTTTCTTTGAAGTAAAGGCCTTTAATCAAACGTGTATAACAGTAAAGTATAACCGCTAATTGAATACAACTTATTGCAGTATGTATTATAATATAAACCTTGCTTCCTTGATTCATGTGCAAACTCCATGGCCCGATGCATTTTTCATATGGTTCGCTCCCCTCTTTAAGAAAAAATTCCGGGAAACATATTACAACACTTGCTATCCAAATGTAGGCAACTGCCTTCTTGATGTTGTCTTCATTTAACCTCAGTCCTGCCCTCAAAGGTTTCAGTACAGCATGGTACCTTTCCGCTGCTAATACAGTGAGGGTAATAGAAGAAACCATTTTTAAAACTTCAACTATAACGAGAAGTTTGCAGGTGAACGTTGTCAGTTTAAATTCAAAGAAGTAAAATGACCATACCAAAATTGTGATGACATCGCTTAAAGCCATGCTCGCTAAAAGATAATTTGTCGGCGTGTGCATCTCTTGTGTCTTGTGCACAATTCGTATTACCAAAAGATTTCCAATCAATCCAATGACAAGAAACGGGATACTCGAATAGAAAAGAGTATCGTCCAAGTTAAGGTCATTTTCACTCATGATGCTAGCCTCAACACTGTTGTTTCTTCCTTACTGTTACTTGGATGGATTTGCTACTCCCGAAGTGAGACTAGTCGATCATTTAACTGAGCTCAACGTATTTTCTTGACTGGCCACAGAATTGCCATAGGCATAGTTTCCAACAGACAAATTTGCAAAAAAACTTACTAGTCGTATAGCCCCTTTATCCTCTCTTGCTGTTAGTTTGTCGACGCAGAACGCGGTTACACACACAATAACTAGATTTCCGTTATTTTTATTTGCCAACGTCACAGGTGGTTGTCAGAATCTTTCAAAATCTTTACTAATATATAATCTTTCTTGATTTTCATGACGGTTTTGCGACAAGCTGTCATGAAGTCATACTGAAAAACCACGTGCAATAGTTATTGTAACTCGCGCCTCTGCCAGCTGAAAATTATCACTACCAATAAAACTGCCGGAAAAACCGTTATTTAGGAACAGAGCCAAATAAGGGAAAATTAAAACAAACCAGCAGATCTAAAGCAATGACTATTTATCTGACTGGGTGCAAATTTGGAGACTGCATGAAAGGAATTCTTGAGTCACGAACTTTTATTTTATTTAAGCTTGTGGCAACTCATTTTACAGTTATGGATGGGAGCGAGGCTGAGGGTGACCTTGTTTTGATACAAACCTTCTTTGCTTTGTTATGGAAATCGTTCTTGAAAAATAATAGTTAGCATAAGAATAACTTGATTTACATAATAAAGCAGAAAGGTTTGTATCAAAACAAGGTCACCCTCAGTCTCGCTTCCATACACAACTGTAAAATGGCCTATTTAGTTTTTCCATGATTTAACGATTAGACAAGGAGTTTAAGGTTTCTTTGATTGAATAGTCAACGAGGCATGTAGCGAGAACAAGTATAGTCAAATTGTTTTTGCACAAGAAGTACAATTCGTCTTACCACCTGGCTGATACTGCAGCTGGCTTCGATTCTATACCAAGTTTTGATGAAAATATATAAAGCCTTAACTGTTTGCACGATAAGAATCATGGGCACCAAACGACTATTTCCTACTAAATGCATTAAAAACACTTTTTAGGCTATCCAGGGTACTATTAGATCTCTACATGTGTACTCTAGGCGGCGCTAGAAGATTTCATCTGTACGGGCAACTTGAGTCTTTTCAAAATTACAAGGGTTTCATTATTATTTTTCCGACAATTTTTAGATAAAATTTAACGCATTACGAAAGTAAGAATTTTTCTCTTTTCACTCTCCATCAAATTTTTGAATCCGAAAATTTTAGGTTTCTTTTTTTCTACGAAAAATATCCTAACCTGGGGGTTAAAATGTGAAAAAAAAAAAACTCCAGAGAATCGTAGGGATTTATTAGATAAGCTGAGAAAATTGTACATGAATGGAACGGTCATTTAGACATTTTTTACCGTTCTCAAGTATTAAAATAGAAAATTTTAGGCAATATTTGCTTCTCCGAACAGATATTTTACAGAAATCAGTCGTTGGGTGCCCCTGAAGACACGAAAGTTGTGCCAGTTTAACGTACACTTTCTTGAAATACATTGTTTATCTAACCTTTTGATCATGATCAGATTGTACGGGAAATTGTTTTGCTATTTTGCTTGTTGAAATGTTTATTCTTCAAAAGGACAAAACAGCTGTCCGCAGCTGTTACTCTACCAGTTCGATAACTTGTTAATTTCTCGACTGAACAAATCAGTCGAGAAAATCAAGGCCAAAACCTGAAGTTAGTGTTCAGTAGAGAAGGCAAGTCTCATTCCTTGCTTCTACTCAGTTAGTGAGCTTGTTTGTTTCGTATTCTTACAACTAAATGTAAAGCAAGACACACTTAAATGAATCGCTTGCAATTAACGCACGCCTATTCTCTGTTTGCACTGTCACACAATGAAAAATAAAAATGCAAACTATTCAATACAGAAGGCCTAGAATCTATCTATAAGAATATAAATATACAAAACGTCTTGCCAAAAATAAGGTCTGTGCAATATTTCAAATGAGAGATATTCGGAAAAACGATTTAGCTAAATGTATAAAGCTTTGTATGAAAACGCCATGTTGGAGTCCCTTCCAGGGTCACCAATATGGCCGCCGGATACCAACAGAAACATCTGCTTTCGAGTTTTCCTACTAATACGTGAATTCTCCGCTTGAGGAACTCATAAAGATTAAAGTAATATTTATTCTGAGACAAGGACTGTTTAGATAACAAAATCTCCCAAAATCGGTAATGTTTTTAACCCATATAAGAGCTCTCCTGGCCGTCAGCTAAATGCCGCGTCAAGCAAAAGCCTGGAACTTCAAGCGTCCTCTCTCGCAAAACGAAGAACCCTTTGAACCAAAAACGTGTATATATAAAGGTGTTTAGGTACTGTAATACCGTTACCAAACATGGTTGCCATTTTGGCCACCATCTTGTATTTTATCAACAATTAGAAATCAGGTACCTGAATGAATATTAACAATTCCCCCAACCATCACCACCCAATCACCTTATCTTAACATTATTTATAACATTACTAATATGAAACCTGCAATTTGGACTTTACTACAAGACTGGCTTAATGGCAAATCACTTCAAACTTAGTTGAATAAATTGTCTTGAAATAAAAATATTATTGCATTGCTTGTGGCACGAGTTGTACCTAACAAGAGCCCTGGGGTGCTTACTTTTTACCGCCCTTCGTACCCTTTTATGAACGAAACATTTAAGGACTTTTCAAGGACTTTCAAGGCCATATTTCCTACTTTTCTATAGACTCCATTCAGTGCAAAAAAGGGCCTTGAGTCTTTGTCTTTTTCACTTCTTTCACAACATGAGTAATTTTATCCCGAAAGACTTCCTGGGTTTGCTCCTTTCCCTTTGGAGTTCTGTCCATTGAAATTCAAGAACTTCCCAGCACCGATCGCAATTTTCAAGGACTTTAAGGACTAGTCAAGGACTAAAATTGTTATTTTAAAATTCAAGGACTCTCAAGGACTTTGAAGACATGGCCATTTATTATTTTCCTAAAGGGTCTTAATTAAAGAATAGAAGCCATATATGAAACTCTTCAGAATTTGAGTAAACCTAAGTCTTTACTAAGGATATCTAGGCATTTTCATCTCCCTGAACTACACGGAAATAGACGAACTCTTGTCTAAAGAGTGTGTGCATGTAAGAACCTACTTTTTAGTATCAATGGCATTGAGGTCAATTAAACTAATTGAGGACATTATAAATTAAGATACAAAGAAAACAGACAAAAACAATTAAATCACTAATAAACTCTGGTTGAGAGAAGGTAAGCTTTTTTTTCATATGTATACTTACAAGTATCTAGGAATATGACAGTAAACTTGAAATTTCTCTTCTAAGTCTTACTTACATGTCCTGGGCAGGGCACCGTCTTTTCCGCCAGAAATGCAGGTAGCCAAACCAATTGCCACATTTTTTGACAGATAAATGGGGAGGGACAATGTGTACTACCCACCATGGCATCTAAATCATCCGGCTATTTCTCTGCTTTATCGTGGACGCTTCACTGACGCTGTGACTGAGTAAAAGAATTACAGCTGTTTTAAAGGTGTTTCGGTATCATGGTGGTCAGTAGAACTATTAGAAACACCATTAAAGGTCATTCCAAATATTTTTTTGTGGTATTGCCAAGGTAAAGCTATTTTAACGTTGTATTTGGCTCAACGTCTACCTTCGACAACATGCTAAAATCAAACAGGCGCATGCTGGGAATCTGGGACAAAGTATGAAGAACTCGTACCCTTAGTATTTATCGTTTTTACAAGATTCTTCTAACTGTGAAGCCACGACGTATACACAAGAATGTTCTGTACCCGGTGAGAGAAGTGGAGGGTGGAGGGGCTCCATATGAAAGGGGTGCGGTTGCTCGTCGGAAATTTTGAATGAAACCCCTAAATGAGACCAATCTGGGCGTGGCCCAACCTTTTTTTTTTTGACCCCTAAAAAAGACCATTTTAAAACACAGACAAATATTTTTTATATATATTTCTTAGCGTGCAACCCTATAAAAGAGACTTTTACGGCTAAATATAATGGCGTTTTGCCCAGAACACCTTAAGTGACAACTTCGTCCCCAGGGCGCTTTTCCCTGGCTTGGCTAATTTGAAAACGTACTCATACCCTTTGCCCTATGTTCTTCTCCTGGCAATCAGCACTATACATTCAGCCTTTTCGCGGTGCTTTAGCCCTGTCTATGAAGCATGAAATAATTTCAGGTTTGACCTTGAATAATTATCCGGCTGATTTTTACCATTGCAGCCAATTTCTCCCCTATTCCAAAGGTTTTGGTAGTGGATTAATGGCGCGAAAGTGAGCATGGATAGGGAAATAAATAGAGGGTAAAGGAGAAAGGAGAAAATATTATATTCTGAACATACGAAATGTTTCTTTTATGAGATGACTTCACCGCGCGTGCAAGATTACCTGGGTGTGGCACCATATATCCATTCAAAGTAAAAGGAGTTGAAGTGTTAACAACAGCTGTCAAAATAAACCAGTTATAGGGTAAATCTGAAATAATGGAAAGAGCATTTGTTAAAAATACCACAGACCGTCTTCCGCCATCTCCGCGGCCATCCACCCCACTTTTTTCCCTTTTCTGACTTATCTTCTCACCGATCGCGGCATTAGCTGAACGCCTGTAACAGACTACTTTTTCGGCGAAAAATTAACTTTGCAAGACATTAGCAGCGTAAGGTAACAGCTGCAGATAGCTGTTACCTCCTCTTTAGAAATAAATGGTGTATCGAG